TTGGCATGGGGTGACCCTAGGTATCATCTGGGGCAGGGAGATGCTCTTGAACCTTCTCTGAAGATTAGAAGACATAGGAATGTTGGAATGTGAGATCTCACAGCAGGTACATGACTAATTAGATTTTCCCTGAATCACCTAGACTTCCATCATAGAAATGAAAGATGCAGGACACTGAAATCCTCCAACTCTTGGGGAATGGAAAGGGCTTGAGGGAGATGGCAGCCTGTGTCTGCGAGTTGGGTTCCATAAACAGGATAAAGCCTTTTCTGTTCTCGTGTCAGTGTCAGACACAGAACACCCATGGCTGTGTGACCTGTTCAGTCACACTAGTCCCCATCCTCAGAAAGATCCCACTCTGCCATTTCCAGCTTGTATTTCTTAATAGATTTTTAACAAGAGACCCTGTATTTTCATTTTGTACTGTCTTCCTCAAATTACAGACATATGTTGCCCTAGGACTAGTACGAAAGGAAATGAGGCCACTCCACTAAGTGTAGTATTTATAGACGGTTTGAAGAGTGAGATTCTGTGCACTTGTAGGAGCATTTGCAGTGCAGGGTGCAGTACATGGAGCGCACTCATCCGTGAAACAATAACCAGTTTTGAAATGTTCTCTAGTGTAAATGCTACAGTGACGTCAGATGAAACACAAGTGGAAGATTTCTTTTCATTCTGTGAACCCAGGGACATTCCTTTGTCTAGTTTCTGAGAAGTGGCTACGTTTTGAATCCTTGCATCAAGAAGTCCCTGAGCAGCTTTATTATAAAGCTCAGAATCCAGCATGCATCCCTGTGTTCCACTCCTCTGTGCTGGAATATTAACATTCCTGCAGTCCCATAAATTATGTATTTGTTGCTGAATGTCGCTGTCAGCTATGAATGGCAGAGCAATTCCTTCTGTAGCTTATTTTGGCTTGACAAGATCATTGATGTGTATCAGAATGCCTTAACAAATAAAATGTAGTTCAAATCAGAAAGATATGAGTCTGTTCAGAAGATAGATTTTCTTTCTCACCCGTGAGTGTTGTAACGGTGGCACTCCATATTTCAAAATGTATAAAATAACAAGCAAGAGAGATAGTGAAAACGTAACTGACTTAAAAAACGTGCATACCTGGCAAAGGTTTCATGTTAGTCAGAGGACCAGTAAGATACTGCATCCTGCCCAAAGGCAAAGAGAAAGAGAAGAGACATGCACAGGCAGGGTCAGTGCTCAGGGGTTTGTGAGAAGACGCACAGCTGGTTGCTTCTTCAGGTGAGGGGCCCTGGGGATAGTGGGGGCTTCACGGGACACAATTTATTTGTAGTGATGTCAGTTTTCTGTAATATAGAGAGTTACAGAATAGCTCAGTTAAAGGTACTGAGGGGTACAGATCCCTGTAGAATCAGATAACCCAGAAGAGTATGGTATCTATCAACCCTTTAAAGCCTTCTTGGGTTTGCTTTATATGTTTAGAACCACACAGTATTTCATAACTGTTAACGCCCACAAAATTTAACTTCTGCCTTGGAGTTGTTATGATGAATCTTGGATCAGACTTTTTAGAATCTCTATTATTTGTTTTTCCAAGACTGGGAGACCAAACCTTCACCATACTTTACCTCCAGTACTTAAAACCTTGAATGAATTCTTGGGAGTTTCCAGCATTTACCAGGCTCCTTGCAAGATTCCTTCCTTACCTCCTGTAAGGCTAGGACCATGTAAACCATGGACTGGCAGAGCTTGGGGGGAAATGTTTTGTAGGCCGTAGCTCAGTGAGTTCTTAAAGTTAGGGAGTCATTTCTGATTCAGCTCTCAGATGTACCCTCCAGCTGTACAATTGGTTTGCCCAGTTACATTCTGTGCATAGATTTTCATTGAACCTATACAGATAACTCTGCTGCTTTGACAATTAGGAGGACTTGGTCAATTTTAAATTGTGGCAGTGAGAACTAGGTATCATTTTAAAATATTTTGATTTAGATTATAAAGAGAGAGCTTACTAAATTATACACTACAGGCAGCTTAAAAAGTAAGGAAAAAGAGATCCTCATATATTCAGAAAATAGAACATTAAAACAACATCAACAGTATTCCAGGCAAATATCCACCATAAATTTCCCTCTTCTGCTCACTCAGTCGTATGAATGAACTGTAATTAATTCTTATTCTGTTAGTTCTTAGTTTAGCAGTCCATGTTCATAAAACCATCTGCATTTAGACTGAAAAGAGCCCAGAAATCTTGACGCAACCCACTGGCACAGCTTAAAAATTATCTCAGCAGTGCCAGCAGCCTATTCCTTGAAGTATCAGTGTTCCTGATAACCTGATATATTCAAGCCTTTCCGTGAAACTCTGGGATTCTTGTTTGCTGGAGTTGGAGACCCTGGCCTGTACTTACAGCGGAGCCTTAGGCAGGTATCAGAGTAATATCAAGGTTGTCTGTAGATTATAGAAACTTAGTGGCTTGCCAATAATATCAGAATGTGGGGATACCCTCCACAGCTGTTTCCTAAAGTTTTAAGGATGGTGTTCCCTGAGGATAAAACGTATCATAGATAATGAGGACATTAGCCAGTTTCCAAGGTCTTCCCACAAAATATCTAAAATGTTTCTATTAATAACATTTTACTAATACTCTCTTAACCTAGGGAAGGCTGACAGGCCTTTCATGCTTTCACATGGCTGCTCTCTTCCCTTCTCTTCCCCTCCCTGCCCTTTTCTTCTCTCCTCTTCCCTTCCTTCCCCTCCCATCTCTTTTTCTCTTCTGTTTACTTTTTTTTCTGTGGTGCTAGTGATCTAACCCAGAACCTGGTACATAGCAGACAAGTGTTCTACCCCTGAGCTGCAACCGCAGCCCTAACTCTTAAAACTAGAACATATTAAATGCAATTGTAAATAGCATCTCTATTTTTATAAGATAAAGGAATAAATCCTTATGATTTTCCAGTACCCCTCTGTTAAATCTCAAAAAGAGATTTAAGAATAAAATTCTCTTTCTGTCTCCCTCTTCCTCCTTCCCCCCCTCTCTATATATATGTATATGTATGTATGTATATATAAATTTTTTTCCAGTCTGGAAAGGCAAAGCCAAAGAGTTATCAGAAGGGTCTTAGGTGCTTGTTTAGGACAACAGAACAAGTGCTCCAGAAATAACACCTGGCTGTTCACATGATCAGAATAATAATAAAACAGTTTTAAATGAACACTGAAAATTTGCATTTTTAAAGAATTGAGACCTTTTAATAAGCAAGACCTTTTTTGTTATCTCACACCCCTCCTAAATAATCCACGGATGTTAATCATTTAATACGTACTTTATATACTGAAAATAATTCTGGTGAAACATAGGAATCTCTGCTATCTAGGCAGAAGGTAAAGAATATGCTTTCACATGATAGAGGCATTCATCAGTAAACTAGGGAAACAAACTGTCAAAATTGTGGCAACTTTGCCAAAATTGTAGTGCTTTTTGTAACCTTTTTTAACCTCAGATACTGCAAACCAAAGCAAATAAAACTTGTTTTTGGGTTGTGTCCTTTATTTTTCCCTTTCATATTCTGCAGTAAAAGAACTCTAGGATTGCCTTTAGCATCCTTATCAGCTCATCTATGGGGTTTTGCGTAGGCTGCCTGATGAATGACATCACAATAAATGCAGAAAGACATGAGTATCTAACTCCTATTAAGCCAGACAATTGAAAGGTTTTATTAAACAGTTACATTTTTCTTAACAAAGGTTTTTCTTTGGAAAATATATCTTTCACAAAATACACATGATTTTCACAAAATGGGATGGATTCATCTTTTCATTTGAATCAATATTTTAAAACTTCTATTTTAATTTAAAACACAGTAAATATTGAGCATTATCATTCATTTAAGCCAAAGCTGTTTGGTATCCTAAAATTTTAAGAGTGTAATGGGATTCTGAAACCAAAAGATTTAAGAAGCACTGATTTAAGTCAAAACTACTCTCAGAAGTGCTTTTTCTTTCAGAAACACAATTACATATATATTTGCATTTTTTTCATTATTTTACCCCGTGTAGTCTTGACTCCTCATTTTAATTGTAATTTATTTACTTGTACCAAAGTAGTTTACTTCATGAGACCATGGGAGGAGGGAGAAGGTAGACAGTTTGGAACTGTCTTGTCATGTGCAAGCCAGTAAAACTGATGCATGAACACTGTGATAATTTACTTTTACAATATCAGCATAGATATCAAGGAACTGCTCTCCTTCCCAGTCGATACAACATTCTTAGTTGAGAGTGATTTGGATTCAAAATAGACAATATAAACAAAAATGACCAAGAAGCCAACCCTGCTCCCTGTGGATCTCTATATCCATTGCTAGTGACCATCAGTCTGTCAGCCGTGAAACTGATTCTGTATCATTCTTACTACTGAGGGAAGAGGAGGTAACTTCTCAGTCATGTACAAACTAGAAAAAAAAAAAGAAAAAAAAAAAAAAACACTACAAGAGAGGAAATAAAAACCAGAGTAATAGAGAGACAGTGAAATCCAGTTCATCACTGCTTTGGATTCAGTGTGGGAGCCGAGAGAAAGCTCCCCCAGGCTTCAGCACCTCTGCTTCTCACACCTCAGGAGCACAGCTGCCTTCTCTGCCACCTAAACTGAGTGGACATCTCAGTAGATGACCTCAGAAGCTCTTGAAAGATAATTTTTCACATGTAAAATTATAACTTGAAAAACTATAAAATGAATGTGATCATGAACTTTAATTAATTGAAGAAAGGGGTAACCAGTAAAACATGATAACCAGTTCCACAGCCTTTTCCTTAGGTGCTGGTTATTAGCAAAGACCACTCCTCCCAGGGCCTGAGTGTGTTGAAGTAGCACTTAGGTTTACTTAAATTCTGACCATTTTAGGTATCTAAGGTCTACATTTGGGGCTCAGAGTAAATTTGTTCATTGTTCAAATTTACTGGGATTTCTTCCGTGGGCCTCTTGCGTGCTCTCCTGAACTGTCACCAACCCTTGGTTTCCTTCACAGTGATAAGGTCCAGGCCCTCTCCTATGCACAACACACGCGGCAGCTCATCTCCTGTGGCGGTGACGGTGGCATTGTCATCTGGAACATGGATGTAGAGAGGCAGGAGGTAGGTGCCGGGAGGCTGGGCCGGGCCCTGCGGCTTCATCTTCCCTCCTGCTTATCTCTTACCTCTTTGATAACCAAACCATGAAATAAGACACATTGTTTCAGAGTCCTGAAAATTACAGTGTGAAGCAAGTTCCTTTATTCTCTCTTCAATCTCCCTTTACATTGACATGTAACATGAATTGACAGGGATTTCATCAGGATTTTGACTTGAGACTGAGCTGTTTATACCACACGTCTATTCAAAGCAAAGGGACAGGTGAGGAAAAGGAGCCAGAGATTAGCCCTTTGTTATAAAATACCCCATGAAAACAGGAAGCTCTTGGGTCAGTGTTACAGTGCCTAACAGTGGCTAAGAAGAAGCCTTAACTTGGTATTAGTGGAAACAGTAAGTATTAATAGAAATACTAGAAATAATTTTTGTGTAATGACTTATGTTCTAAGTAACAATTTTTTTTAGCACATACTTAAATTCTGTCACAGCACTTTTAATCTTTGAGCATCTTAACAGCTAATATTTTTACTGAAAAGCCCCTTTGACAAGTACTTTGAAGAGAACCATTTTCACATTACCCTACGATTATTCTGGGTAGCTGTTCCCTTTGAGAGTGTGCATTCTTTAATTTGTTTCTTGCAAGATGTTAAGAATTAGATAGAAAAAGAACACTTTTACGAGACAAAAGCTATTTCCCAAATTCTTTCCATGCCCTTACCCTAGTCTCGTTTCAAGAGAATAGTTGCTATTACCCACAAAGTAATGCCTTTCAAATCCCAGTAATTAAATGCTTAAGAAGATTAAAGCTTTATTTGCTCAAACCATAAATCCACAGGAGCTCTATTAGTAACTAATTAAAATGATCATTACTGTTAGGAAGTGAGGACTTGTAGAATATTGCTTTTCAAAAGTACACTTGGCACTTTACAGTGCCATCCAGACAGAGCCAAGTGAGTGCTGGTCACATGAGCCACACTCCTGGTTTGGGCTCAGCCTGGCAATCTGCTGCTTTGAGTTAGGGACCGCTATACCTCGTCTGACTTGGCTTCTTTCCAGGCCAAACTGAGGGACAGAACAGCCAGTATCTTTTCCCTCCAAACAAATATCCTCTTCCTTCTGTGCACAGAGACTCAAAGGAGGATGACAAGGTGATTCTCAGAGCTTGAAATCAGGTGGTAACAGGTAATCCTTTGAGCCCTCTTGCTTATATTATGCTCCCTGACGTACAGATGTAGGGGCATTTAGTATGTGTTGGTTTTCGAGTCTTGGTCAGTGTTTTGATAAGGAGTGGAAGTGCATCCACACATCTTTGGCAAGTATATTTGTAAACCTAGGTGTCCTGTGATGTTTCCGTGCCTTGCTGTCTGGGATCTTCTTCCTGGTTATGGCAGGGGCTGTGCGGTGCTCACCCTAGAAGTTCTGAGGCTGGCCAACCTGATGCGCAGAGACTTTCAGAAAACTTGACAATGCTATTTAGTGTCACAAATGAGGATCACATTAGACGTAAGATGAAATGTTCATGCTGGCTATTGTTCAGCTGAGGTTGTCAGGGAAGGACTTATGGGAGGTCCACTGGGGCCTGGATGTGCTCTGAGCAGGAGCTGGTGGGCTTTAGAGGACAGAAAGCATCAAGAATGAGAACAGGATCCGAGTGGTGCATTAATGCTCCTGAGCAGGAGAGCAGCTCTCAGGGATGAGAGCAGGGCCGAGAAGGGGACAGTTTGGGATGGATGACGGGACCTTGAGGGTGGCTGGATGCAGATGGGGCTGACATATATAACAGAGGCCCCTAGCCCCTGGGCTCAGATCAGCCTCTCTGAGGCTCATTAGGAATCCAGCCGCACTGCAGGAGGTGAGAGGCAGACCAGCCGGCAAAGTTTCCTCAAGGTCTACAGCCATTCCCCATTTTCACTGCCACATGAGCCTGCCTCCATCAGATCAGCAGAGCTGCTGGGTTCTCACAGGAGCACAGACCCTGCTGTGAACTGCAGCACGGGGGACTAAGTTGCTTTCCTTTAAATCCCCCTCAGGGTCACTCACACCACTCCCACCTCGTCGAAAAACTTTCACGAAGCTGGTCGCTGATGGAAAACCTTGGAGACTGCTGCCATACAACATGTTTGTCCATACCATTAATAAAATCCACTTATTCAGATATCATTGTTATTTTATTATTTTTATGTGGGTGCCCTTGGACTTACTATGTAGCTCCGGCTGGCCTCACACTTGTGGCAGTCCTCCCAATGACTGGGTATACAGGCACGCACCCCTACACCCGGCTTTCAAACATCATTTTTAAAAGTATGTATTACAAATAATACATGTTTTTTGTAGAAAAGTTACAGAGTGCTCATTCACAAATAGAAAGCAGGCTAATGACTCAACACCACCAGCAGTCAGGAACATCTCTCTTAACATGTTAACATACACCTTCCCTTACTTTTGGGGGGTTTTTTGTTTTGTTGTTTTTGTCTTTTTGAGACAGGCTTGCCTTTTAACTCACTGTGTAACCCAGACTGGCCTCAAACTCACAGCCTCCCAAGGGCTGCATTTACAAGTGTACACCGCTGCACCCACTTGTTACATGTTTTCTACATATGTAAAAATTTTTAAGAAAAATACGAAATCCTCTTATACATGCTGATTTATTTTTCTTTCCTATTTCCTAGTACTTTCCAAATCCCTCATCATGGATACCTTCATACTCACTGTGACACATTTAGTGTGTGTTTAAACAAAGAGGTGTGCGTGTATATGAGTATGTGTGTGTGCACATGTGTGTTAAAGTTTACGTAAATAGTGCTGCACTAAGCCCATGTTTGTTTCCAGCTTTTTCCCTGGGACCCTTTCTGAGCTCTTCCCATGCTGCTAGTGATCTCAGGGCACCTCTGCATAAGATCCCACAGTATGTACCAGTGACATTTTACCTCTCTTCCCCAAGCACAGGCACATAGATTGCCAGAAACTTCGATGCCACACACACACACAGCACCCAGATGACCCTTCACATGTCCCCTCATAGACCTATTGTGAGATCAGTCCAGGTACATTCTTGCTTTTGCTGAGTAAACAAAGGCTGTGCCATTACACTTCTAGTGGAAGACATGGAGCTTCCTTCTGACCGCTCCCATTCTCCCCAGCAGTTATGGTTACTCCAGTTCCAATTTTGACCTTCTGGAGACAGGATAAGAGAGTGTCTTGTTTTAATTTGCATTCTCAGCTCAACAGTAACTTTGAGCTTTGTATGTATATTTAGCTTTCCAGCCTTCCCTATATGTGAATTAACATGTTTCTATCTCTTGTATCTTCTTGCCAATTTATCAAGTGTTTCTTGTCATTTTCTTATTGTTTTGCAGGGGTTCTTTGTATATGGTAGGTATTTGCAGGAGTCCTTTGTTAGTTATATAGGCTTTGTAAATATCTTCTAGCCTGTTTGTGTGCCTTGCTCCTTATGTACTAATGTACTAATGAGGTTATGTACTAATGTACTTATGTACTAATGAGGTTTTCTCATTCATTGTATATTGAACATTTTCCATGCCTTTAAATATTTAATATATAATTTTAATGGTAATAAGGTTAGATTAGGGAAATTATTTCTTAAATAAACATTAATATACTCTTAGTTCTCTAAGGAGCATAATAATGATTTTTATTATGTAAAGTGAGTTGCCAGTTATTTTTTCACTATAAATTCTTAGCCCAAATGTAATTACTAACTATAAACATCACTTGATTTATTTGTGTAACAAATAAGTTTTTGTTTCTTCTTTTTTCTGGGGGATGGAGTTAAGTTTTCGTTTCAAAACTTTAGAAAGCATTAGCATTCAGGTAGTGGCACAATCAGGACGTGTGTAAAATATTGTACAATACACTACATTCTCTCTTTCGTCTTTCTCAGATTACCCAGATTGTCCCACATCATAGTGTCTGAACAATGCCAGCATAGATAACCCTTTTGGTGATAAAATTTTGTCTTAGGCAAAAACCTGGTATTATTATTTTAAATCTGTCTTTAAATGGAATATAACATGAAGATTACAGAATAAATCAAGACTTGCTCCTTTTCTTTGGTTTTAATGGAATATGTAGACCAACAATAGAATGATTTTAAAATGTCTCCTTTTTCCCTATTTTTTGAGAAAACGTAGTTTTAGGTTTATTTCTGCCTGAAGAACAAAAGTCACATCAACAACAATAAAAACCCCAGCGCCTCTGCCATGCTGTTGTCACCTGTCAATACGTGAAGGGTAGAATGCTGTTTATTTTATGTAGTGTTTCTCAAATTTGTTTGATCCCCAGCGTCTTTATGTGTCTGTTGAGTGAGATGCTCCCTGGAATACACTTTTGGGAAACCCTGGGGCTGGGCATATTTTTCAAGGTTCCTAGGGTTCTGTGCTGTGTGGAAGGAAATGACTTCACCCTGCAAACAATGACAGTACAGTTTTTAATGTGTAAGGTTAATTGTTTTTTCATAAGAAGTTCTTAATTAGCCTCAATTTGATTACAAACTATACTTGTGCAGAATCAAATATGGAACTCTGGAAGCAAATGCAGTCGCATATGCATAATCAGTACAGATTTACTAAACAGCTGTATGTGGAACCCACTTTTAAACTGACCTAATTTAGGTTCCTTGTGACAGTGGGAAATAATGAACAAAGCCAAAATATTGTGTGACCCATAAGCCAAGAAGCAGAGCCTCGAATCCCAAGGGGGCCTGCCATGAGTGAATAGTGGACTGGTAGCCACTTTGAGTGTGTACCACGGTCAGCTTATCCCCCTCTAGCACAGGGCCTTCGGGTGTGTGCTGCGCACTTAGACATCACTGTGCAGCCAGAGCAGATGTGCTTACAGCCAGTCCAGTCTTGAGAATGTGAGATACAGTTCTAAACCTCCAGCATGGCTGTCCAGAGTACAGTATGGCCTCAGCCAAAATCCCCAGCCGTGTCCCTCACTCCCCACAGGCCATCTTGCCAGGCCAAGCCACTCAGTCCCCTTTCCCTGACCTCTCTCTGTCTGTCCTCAGGTCTCAGCTGACTTACGTTTTCCCAGAGACCACCAGCTGTGGTCAGAACCCTCTGTTTACCTTTGCCATGGCACCATATGCCTTTCCTTGCCTCGGCTCTCTTAGACTTACTGAATAATCATTAAAATTTTCATGATGAATTCTAAGTTCCATAACATGTTTACCACCACGTCCCATCCCTAGGGCCTAACATCTGAATGAATATTTTTCTAATGATTAAGAAACCATGCCTCTATTTTGAATAAATGCATCCTGACTCCGGAAGTTCCATCAGTGTCAGTAATACCTTTGTCACGCTGCTTCTCACTGTGGCCTGTTATGTGCTTTCTTTGATCAGACCCCTGAGTGGCTAGACAGTGATTCCTGCCAGAAGTGTGATCAGCCTTTTTTCTGGAACTTCAAGCAAATGTGGGACAGCAAGAAAATCGGCCTAAGACAGGTGGGTGATTTGGATTTTTCTTCATAGTGAAAATGACTTAACTTGATAATTGCAGAAAAAATAGCTTGCCTGGGGTGGAGTTGTGGTAGGGGTAAATTATTATCCTGGAGTCATCTTGTGATTAATATCCTGCCCCCTTGTCTGTTGTAGCTCATTCCTATTAGATTGAGTTTCTGCAGTGGTTTGTTTCCAGTAGGTAGTTGAGGGATGCAATTTTAGAATTCTGATGACATCCATTGAAACGCACCTTAGAATTAACAGGCATCATGCTTAAATGCACATTGGTTCTAAACCATGAATTTATTTAAGTGGTATTTATTTCTCCTTAATTATTACACTTACCCTCCTCATTTGGTTTTAGTTATCCAGATCTGCTAGTAGCATATCATTTTCAGTCTGATCTCATGGTTCAACTTGGTCTTTCCCAAAGAAATCCAGAGAGGTCATGGAGGTTTAACATAGTCATGGTAGGCCATGGGTTGAATCAGGTTTCTTCCACATTTTCCTTCATCCAGCAGCATAATCTCTGGAGATGGTACCTCTTCAGTATACTTAACTGTAAGACCACCCAGCCTCTGGGTTCTCTTGTAGTCACAGTGATGCTCACGAGAAGGGATGGAGGCTGGGGTGCAGACTGGGGGAGGTGACACACACGATCAGGTGTGTCTCCAGCATCCCTCATTCTGGACACACGGAGTCTGAAAGGAGAAGGTATCTGCCGTGCTCCTGTGAGGTTTCTGGGCAGTCTTGCCTTGCATCCCCGCCGTTAGTGGTCACAGCTGAGGTCATGCACAGCCATCACCACCTCTGTTTTCTCTCCTTCTCCAGCACCATTGCCGCAAGTGTGGGAAGGCTGTCTGTGGCAAGTGCAGCTCCAAGCGCTCCTCCATCCCCTTGATGGGCTTCGAGTTTGAAGTGAGGGTGTGTGACAGCTGTCACGAGGCCATCACAGATGAAGAGTAAGTTCCCTGTCTGCAGGACTCTCCCAGTTACAGAAGGAGTCACCCATGCCCCGATGGCTCTGATTCCTGCTGGCTTAGTTACAGATCACTGCAAGTGATAAAAGACCTTCTGTGTCACCAAGAGATTTGTTATCTTGAGAGATCATAAAGAGAGAATACAAAGGATTATGTGTATGCTTGTGCGTGTGAGTGTGTGTGTGTGTGTGTGTGTGTGTGTGATATTGGGGGTGAACCCAGCACCTTCACACTGAGCTACATTCCCAGTCCTATTTATGTTTGCTTTTGTCATCTTACTACTATAGTAATTGGGGGCCCAAACTTTCCATTCGCCTTAGCCTCCCATATTGTTGGGATTGTAGGGATCCACCACTATACCTGCCTCATCTCTGTGCTCTTTTTAATGTCTAGGGTGTGTTCATTTAAAGTATACTAGTTCCTCAGTTCACAAACACAATTCTTTCCATGATTCTACTCACAAACCAAACTGGACAAGAATTAAATCAAATTTTCCCATAAGGTTAACATCGATGAATTTGATTCAGTTCTTGTCCAACTCAGTTTTTGACCAGAATTGTGGAAAGAATCGAGTTTATGAAACAACTGAAGAGGCTCCCAGAGTAAACTCTTCTGTTGCTCATTAGGCCCCAGCCAGCCTCCAGCAGGTTTCAGTTTTCAGGAAGAGCTAAGCTGCTTTACCTAAGAGGCAGATACTCTATTTGCCCACTGCTCCACTGACTGCTTGTCCGTCCTCCGAGAACCTTGTGGGTGCTCTGTAAGGGGGTGAGAATTTGCACTTTCGCTTTAATCTTGGCTAACTGAAAACTGTCCCTCAATGCAAAACAGAATGCTCTGAACAAGTTTCTCCTTTACTGAGGTACAGGAGGATCAATCCCCTAAGTAATTTGAGTCTTCTACTTCTCCCAGTGTAGTCAAATAATTTTAAATGTTCTTATTTACCCCTATCAAATATAAATTAAGATATCCTTACATAGGTTGGCAATTATGTTCATCATTTTCCAGTGATCATATGTGATGAAATTAGTAAGAATTTTTATTGAATAGACAGCTGCAAGAGACTTTAGAGATAGTCTTGTTTAGTTCTTTATCGTATGAAGACGTAGACCAAAAAAAAGACAGACCAGAATGTCTAAGGAAGTTGAAGATTAAGCCTAAATCTTTAATTTTGAAGATTTAAATGTGATCATTTTTAGCATACTAAAGATCTACCCTGTAGATTTAGCTGCAGAAAAGGGGAAGAAGGGGCTGGGGGTTTAGCTCAGCGGCGTAAGCGCCTGCCTTGTAAGCAGGCAGTCGTGAGTTCGATCCCTGGTACCGATAAAAAGGAAAAAGACAAAAAAAAAAAAAAAAAAAAAAAAAGAAAGAAAGAAAGAAAAGAAAAGGGGAAGAAAAATATTCTGTCTTCTGAGCAGCTAGTGGAGCGGTGAGACCCTTGAATGTGATAGGAGTGGCCTTCTGCTTTGTGGCCTCCCCGGCCCTTCACATCTCACTGTGTTTCCTGCCTCTGCTTCGTGAAGTACTGGCACTGCTTTTGGAGCATCTAGGCAGTCAGCAAGGCCTTGTATTTTAAAAAAGAAAACATGGGTTAAAAAATACACAGTATGTTCCCAGGGATTTAGCTTAGAGGCATAAGCGCCTGGTTGGCAAGTGCAAGGTTGAGAGTTCGATCCCCAGTTACCCCGCCCCATACATAGTATGCTGGGCAGGAGGGTGCATGGTTACAATCCTAGCACTCAGAAAGCTGAGCAGGATGATTGCTGCAGGTTCAAGGCTATCCTGGGCTATATGATGAGTTCAAGGCCAGCCTGAATTACTTGGTGAAATGTTGACTTAGACCAGGAAGGAAGGAAGGAAGGAAGGAAGGAAGGAAGGAAGGAAGGAAGGAAGGAAACAAAGCAAATAATGATGTTTGTTTATATATTTTGTGTTTTGCTTATTGAAGATTTAGAATAGTACAGAAAAATGAATGGGTAACTTTCAGAGAGAATGATAGTAGGATATTAGGCATTTTGACAAGCACCTTTTTACAAATTAAATAGGCCAGCTAGACCTAGGAGAACCAACAAGCAGCTAGTAGAGTAGTGGGCAACTGAGAATATTTGTCTCTTAGGTAAGGCATTTTAGCTCTTCCTGAAAGCTGAAACCTCTGGGTACCAGCAAGTCCTTCCTTATGAGCAAAACCTTTACAGAAGCACCGTGGTTTATTTTAAAAAGGTTTCTCAGAAGCACAGGTAGAGATGACCTCACTTGCAGCACCTTCTCCTGAAGGGCCTTTGGAGACTGCATCTCTTTCCCATTTGGGGACTGTGAGAATTCTTTTACTTCATTATATTTTTAAAATGGTAACAGTCCACCAAGGAGTAAAGGCAGTCTGAGAAGTATTTCTAACAGTGAAGCAGGTTTAGCCATGAGCCTAAAAAGTAGAGCCTAATATCATGGTAAACCTCCATAATTCATACCCTATCCTTTAGTCTCCTCCTGTTCCTTCCAGGCGTGCACCCACGGCTACCTTCCACGACAGTAAACATAACATTGTGCATGTACATTTTGATGCGACCAGGGGATGGTTACTGACTTCTGGAACTGACAAAGTTATTAAGGTAGGACCCCATCGTATTACACTTCAAGGGACCCCGGGAGCATGGGAGGCTCTGCTCAGGAGTTACCCTTGGCAGTGAACGTTTTGAAGGCCTGTTGTATGCGTGTCTCTAACTGTGAGGAATGAATAATCTACTGGGGACATATTCTTTTTAAAAACTAGTAGATCACATGTGCAGCAGTCAGAAGAGTGGTACAGATAAGAATAATCTTAAGAGTTCAGCACAGGAAGACAGTGCTGCTAGAGAAGGGACTGAGCTGAGCAGTGAGTGGAAGGCAGGCCTGGAGAAGCCCGCGGCTAATGAACAAGCGGCTTCTCCCATTGAGATCAATTAATCCAAGAGTGCTCACGCCAGGGCCTCTCTGAGGACTGTGGTAGACAGACCACAAGGACTCTGTGCCACAGCAGAGGCCCACAGCAGCAAGGGCCACCCGTGTCCTTTCCATGCCATTCTTGGAGGCAGCAGCAAGCAGCAATGGCTAATAATCCCCTTTGAGACCCTCTTTGTGACTTGGAGCAAGTTTTGAAGTAAACCCTGAGAACCTCAGTGACTGGATTTTTGATGTCTTATAGAATTATTTAGAAGATTCAATGAGAAGGCGTGGGAAGAACGCAGCACAAACTTACTGTTCAACATACATTAGTTCCCTTCCTCCTCCTCAGGAACCTGATCTGCATCTGTTCTCCATTAGCTGGGTTAAATTTTAAGCTGCTTCTGTGATGTTTTTTAGTTCTACAGAGTCATATTAAAAGAGATGTAGTTGCTTGTTAAATGAAAAAACTTCACTTGAACTGTAAGGACTGTTCATCTTCAATATTTTGATTTTTGCTTACCCTTATTTTCTTCTTTTTACAGTTATGGGACATGACCCCAGTAGTGTCTTGATGACTGTCCCAGGAATCAGCTAGTATTTACTTAAAAAATGGTTGTGATGATCCAAATGATTACTGGAGAAGCAAAGCGGAAGGAAGAGAAGCTGAAGACCCTAGATGAATGTACATCTCACACAGTCGGTGGTGAACTAGCAAAAGAACATTTGCAGGGACTTTTCAACTGTTCATACGATATAAAGAAGATATTTTTTTAACAAATGATTTATACGGTCTGGCTATGCTACATTGTTTTAAGTACGCTGAAAACATCTGTGTGGGTGTTTAATTTTTATATTTTCCAGGTCTCCACTTTACCTGTTGCTTTGTGTGTTGGAGAAATAAGAGAACTATCTGTTCAGATTATTTTGGTCTTTATGAAGTGCTTTCCACATTTTCTTCATTGTGATGTGTGACCAGCTTCTTTTTCTTCTCTGGATATCATGTACTTGTACCTGCTCTGCTTTGTACCAGAGTATATGTATTTATGTGTTCATTCCTAGTGTTTCTGCTTTCGTTTCTTCTCAGTGGAGAGATTCGGGAAACCAGTCATATGGCTCTACCAGCCAACTTGATGAGTCACCTGAAGAATGATCCATTTCTGTTGTCTGATCCGTTCATGTTCTCACTGAGTAGAAGTGACTTCATGTTTTTGCCTCAAGTTTCTGTGTTTCCCACTTTAGAAAAAGCTGTGAGAAACAAGTCCCCACCATTATCATCCCAGAAGTAGATGATCAGAACTCACAGCTTCAACCATCAGTGCCTGGATCATTTAGCATTCAGCGAGGGCCTCATGAGCCCTTTATATGTTAGGGTGGATTTTTTGTTGATGTTTTGTTGTGTTGTTTTTGTTTATTTGGGGTTATTTTGTTTTTGTTATTTTTGTTTGTTGTTGGGTTTTTTTTACATAGCTCTTACTTTTAATGTTCAAAACAAAAACCTACAAGCTCCAAAAACAAATGCCTTTAAAATTTGTTTTCCTGTGCAACATCATCTCTGAACTAGAACATGTATTGCTGTAAGATTGTAATCCTGCTCTCTTCCTCTCCATCTGTACTTTGTTACCCTTCAAACACCAGATGTTCAGATATTTTGTCTTCCTGTACGTCATCTGAACACTTTGCACACTTTCCTACTGAGGCTGCCTGTGATCTGAGACGTACGGGCACTGAATGCTGCAGCTCCTGCTGTGTTCCTCTGAGGGACTTGAAAGAGGGTTTTAGAAAACGAACATGAAGATTCTTTCTTCTAATGGAATCCAATCAAACTTGATAAATGATCACCTCAGGATACTGAAGTCCTTTTTTAAAATCCTATTTTCAGTGTAAAAATAGAATTAAAATTAGTGGCAAGCATGTGCCAGTCCCTGCCCCCTTCTAAGCACTTTATGCAGATACTGCCTCATGAGATCCTCACCTGTCAGGAATATTCAGGCTCACCAAGTCTCTTGATGATCCCTAGATTAATAAGTCTCACAGATAAACAGATCACTCGCCTGCTCTTCCCCTTCTGGGTCCTCTCTCCAAGGTAGCTGTTCGCTCTGAGTTGACAAGTTTTTGGTGGTAGGTAGGATCTAAGCAGTCGAAATCCTCCCTATGATTTTTTTTTCTCTTCCTGGAAGGCATTTTACTCGCCTCACTATCATTCATTGCTTTTCTAACTGGCGATACTCACTGAAAGCCCCACTTGGATACTGCCCCAACACTGACCCAGTATACTCCCTGGGGATGGACTTCCTAAAGGTGACTGCTGGCCCAGCATTGGGAACAGGGCCAGAGTGTGTGTCCTGCACATCCGTGGCACACGACACCAGAGGCCAGCATTCTTGACGCACACAGGTCCACATGTGCACACACAAGGAAGTTGTCACCATCTGTCACCTCACTACCCCCCCACTGCTCTTGCTTGTTTGCTATCAGAGCTGTTATAACTACTGTGAGTCTGTTCTGCATGGCTGCTCATAAGAGAGCTTTTAAAAAGGGATTACATTTAAAATATCAGAATATCTATTTTATCATGTATTACTAGAATTTGTGGCCATTTATTATGCGGTGTGTAATAGAGAGCCATTTATTATGCTGTGTGTAATAGAGAGCCATTTATTATGCTGTGTGTAATAGAGAGCTATGTGCTGGAAATGAGTAAAAGAAGTGAATCGCTCTGTTTTCACTTCCGGAATATTTGCACCTGGCCTGCATATACAGAGGAAAATACAGATTCAGGGAGGCAGGAATTCAGGGACCCAGCAAGCTTTGTGTGGATTCCCAGTTTAGATATAGATGAGTTCAGACCTTGTTTTGCAAGCTGAGTGCCCCCATTAGCTCACATGTGGACATTGTGGCCTCCCTGCTCTGTGACCCTGTGCTTCCTTCCACCTGCCTCCCTCCCTCCCAGCCTTGCTGTGACCCAGCCCACAGAGCCGCTCAGAGGCTGAATCTCGTTAATGATGCAAATCATGATTGAAAACCACAGGTATTTCAAGATTGTCTACTACTCTGCCCGTTGCTTTCCCTTACCTGTGTGGGTGCTTGAATTTGGTGAAGAGTTTAGCAAATTAATTGTGTGGGTTTATAATACTGGATTCTTGCATTTTGCATTAAGTAACCACCAGTTTTGTAACTTAGAAATATGTTCTGGTGTCAGATGTCTTCTAGGCGTTTTGTAGAATTACTGGCTTCATTGTGAGTGAAAGCTGGCCCCAGCACTTGGCTTTTCTCCTGTCTGGTTAAAAATCATGGTTCCTGCTGTACCCTGTTGGGTTTGCACTTTACATGTATTTTTGCTGTACTGCTTAAGCATAAAGCAGCTCTGGCAACTAGTGCCCGCTGGGGCTGTGTTGAAGAAGTAGCCGAACTGCGCTTCACAGAGCTGTGGCAGAAGGAATTAATCTCATGTTCTTGGTTCCCCCAAAGAAATGACGTTGCTCGAATCTACAGCTGCTTGGGTGTATCTCCAAAGTGGCAAAAAATGGTTTCAAACTATGTACTTGGAATCTTGGGTCATTTTTTTTAATATGTGGTCAATCAACCATAATGTATTTCTTAAATTTTGAATTATTCAGAGAATCATAAAATCGCAAACCTGGAAGGGATCTTGAGATCTAGAATGTTCCTAGGAGAAAAATTCTCAGGCAGTTAGATATAACCGAAGCATAAACAAGAGAACCCAAAAGACATATTCAAGGAACAATTGTTTTTTAATATTACCTAGTAACAGCATGAGTTGAGGAGCAAATCCAGCCTCTTGAGACAGGGAGCTCTCTAGACCGGTTTGTTCTCACTGGAAACCTGTTTAATACCTCCTTTGGCCCCAGCCCTGTGGTTATGACTGTCATGGGTCTGAACTCTTATCAGAAGGTAGTTACTGACTGTTCCTCACCCACATAAAGTCATTTCCACACTGTTCCGCATGGATCCCCCCAGGAGCAAAGCTGAAGTGGAAATCCAGGGGTCTCCTGTGTTGCGGACCAGATTTGAATGAGACTCTGGGGCGGCACCATTTGTCCATCTGGTGGCACATTGCAATTTTCTCTGAGGTTCATTTTTTTAAAATGTAATATATTTTTGTTTAACATTAATCCTCAGAGCTTGAGTTTCAACTTTTAAGCAAAAGAGTGGTTCTAAACTATGTATCACCACTAGTAGACATAAACATTCATTGAATGAAATTCCTTTGGTTTTGCCTTTTCATAATTGTATGTAAGGGAACTTGTTCACTAAGATTTAGACCTTAAAGTGAAAGAGAAATGTTTTGCCAAAAAGTTCTCATTTTTCTCCTGTAAAATAATGTTAGGTTAAATTTTGCCTGGTGTAAAAGTAGATATTTATTTTGCACCTTGATTAAAAAACACAGAAACTAGCTTAATTCTGAACACTGAGTTACCTAGATTGCAGTTCTAGTCCAGTCAGCTCCCAACTATTGAGAAACACTCCTACTCCACACACCAGGTAGCTCGGTGCCAGGGTAAACGTGTGTCTGAGAGCCCTTCCTGGCCATGCAGAAGCTACACGGATGAGTAAATGGATCATTTCAGCACGTGTGATTAGTGTTATGATAGATGTGTGTTGGGGTCCCAGCCATTGTGATCCTACCAAGCAGAGAATAAAGAAAATCTAGGGTATGGAAACAGCAGACAAGCTTGAAATCTACAGAGAGCCTGGTGTGTGCAGAGACCGCAAGGAGGTGGCATTGTCAGAGAACATCAAGTGACCCAGCTGCAGGCCTGGAGCACAAGCCCTTTTAGCCACTAAGACACCAGTGCTCGTAGCCTCATGGCCTGGGACAGATGTGCTCAGTTACCCTGCAACTGGCACTACTATCTGCCGATTTCTCTGGATGCACCGCCTTTCACTTAAAGCTGAGATGTCGACCTGGAGACATGCGTGCACAGTCCATGGGAGAATATCTCTTAACTAGATTAAAACGTAGGCTCGCCAGGCCTAACTGATCTGCTGTGAGAAAGGCAAGGCAAGGCTAGGCTACAGCAACAGGTCGGGCAGGAGGAGATTGCTCTACTCAGGGTTGGGCTGGCACTAAATGTATAGTACGCCAGGCACAAATAGTCGCTGCTGCTGGTAATCCCTGTCCTCCTCAGCCTTAGACTGGCTCTCCGAAGTAACAGGCCATTCCTGGGCCATGTAGCAAGTGCCAGGAGCCTGGCATCAGGGCACTCCCCATTTAGAAGGGAAAGACTTTTCTCAGTTCAGTTAGGGTCAAAGGGTTCAGGCAGCCATTTGGCTCCCAAAGACCTGGCTCTGCTGAGGAAGGAGCACCTTGTGGCAGCGCTCCAAAGTGCCTGCCTCATGTCTTGCTGTGACATTATTTGCCTTTTGTCCATAGCTGAATTCAGAAATACCTGTGTTCATGTTTAAATTTTAGCCCAGCTTTACAACTGAGAACAAATACCAATCCTCAGGTTTTAGTTTGCATTTTTACCTTTTAAAGTTACCCTTCCCACCAAGAAGCTTCTCTAGGTCCAACACATGACGGCAGTGTCTGAAAATTAAATCTGCCCTAAATTGGAGGGGGCCCCTCAATCAGATTTCCCATGCCAGGCAAGCTTTTGTAAGACAGTAGGTAGCTCCTTGTCAGAGATGCTGAGAAGATTAAGGCTTTGAGGATGGATGAATTCATAGTCCTTCTTAAGGCCCCTTCAAATCTTGCGGTTCTGTGATTCTATGAATGTTACTAGACTTAACTCAAACCGTTACCAGCACAGGGCTGACTTCACTCTGACAAATGAGAGCATGTTGCCGGGCAAATAGCTTCTGCCATATCAAATGAACCAGTTCCTGAACTTTGCCATCTAACGTCTAGTACGGCATTAGACAATTATAAAGGTAGATGTATAGATATATTAGGTAGATTATAAAGGTAGAGGATCGTGGTACCATCTCATTATAAATAGATACCTCAAAAAGTTCACCTGTATGAGTCAGGTGTGTCTGACTTTCTTGAAAGAGGAAGTATCTGGGAGTTCAAGCTGATTCAGAGTTCGGAATCTGGCCTTGATATTTATGATTCTTTGACATTGTTTTCTTGGTCCTTTGGAACATATGAGAAGGTAAACTATTAGTCAAAAGAAGAAAAAGAAACTAGTTTGAAAAAAAAAAAAAAACCGCTGTCTCCCTTCTTACTTTTCTGTCATTTGAGTGATGGCAGCCTGCTGTCAGTAGCCAGTACAAAGTATGGACCAAAACACTCATGTCCCCATTAACTATTGTATTCACAGGCATCTTCTGCTGTTTACCTTGTCTTTAAAGTTACTTTGGTTTTCAAGGTACTGTATGTACACAAATTGCTATTAACTGGACAGCAGGGAAGGTGCTAGCCCCACACCCGTGCCTCCCGTTACTGGCTTTGTAGCCAGGGATACAGACTGCTGCACACGGCCAGCGGGCTGGGACCCAGCCGCGCCTGACTGCAGTGGGCATCTTTCTCCTCTTCTGGAATGAGGAGATTCTCTGGGGTCAGGCTGACTGTGGTAACCCTAAGCTGGAGCAGATCTCTCCAGGGTGGCTCCAGCAGAACCCCTCTGGCATTTGCCCTGCCCTTTGCCTCTGGATTCCATCGAGCAGATCAGCAGCCCTGACATGACCTCCTGAATGTGATGCGGTGGTGCCGTGCACGAATGTCCTGTGATGAGACGTCTGCGTCCAGTCCTTCACCCTATGCTGCTGAACATAATGAATGTTTTCACTCTGCCCAGCTTCCCACTGTGCTGCCCTCTAACCTCTGATGTATGTGTAACCATTACCAGTGTAAGGCTCTCTGTGCAGAGTTGCCCTGTGGTTTAAAAATAAATGTTTGTGAACACCTGCCTGCAATTATGTTCCCATTATTGCTTTCACATGGAGCCAACACCCAGTAGACCGATTTGGTGCTACCCTTGTGGGTTCTGACACATACTGGGGTACATAGGTTAAAGAATTACCCAGCTCACTCCTGCCGTTCAGACCTCAAGGAGAACCACCGTCTGGAGACACAGGCTGTGCCCATGTTGTCCCTATCTTTCATGTAACTAATTTTACTATTTCATAAACTTTCCAAATGAGGAAAAGAGCAGTGCAGCTAGGAAAAGCCCCTTTCGAGACTCCATGAGATCATTTTGTTTGGGGAGGGGGAGTGTTTGGGGTTTGGTTTTGTTTTTTTGAAAGAGTCTCGCTATAATTCAGGCTGGCTTTGAACTCACTGAATAGCCCAGGGGGGCTTTGAACTTAGGGCAGTCCTCCTGCCTCAGTCTCCCTAGTGCTGAGATTACAAGTGTGTGCCTCCACGCCTGGCTGGTGAGGTCCATCTATGGATGAAAACAGGTATAGAGAAATAAGTGACTCCACCCCCCCACCCATGTGGAATAGCTGGTAAGGGGTGCCTGACTTGCACAGCCCTCGAGGCCACTGTCCCCAGTCCTGCCAGCACAGCCTGCCCACACCCAGCACCACAAAGGCCCCAGCTTCCTGTAGAAAAGCAGCAACGCAGTTGGATGAAGCCAGTATTTGCCAAACAGTGCTGCTTCCTGTCAGGACACCAACCTCCCAGGTAAATGCATGTCCTGGTTACTCCTGTCTGGTTGCTGTGCCAAAATACCCAAGGCCCAAAATTAGAGAAGGAAAGGTTTATTTAGCTTACAGTTCTTGGAGGTTTCACTCCATACTCAGCTGGCTGTGAGGCAGGGTGGTGTGGCTGGGGGCAGCCATTCTTGGCTGCACCCAATAAAAGCAAAAGGGCAGAAAGTGGAGAAAAGCACACCTCCTTCCTGCCCTTACACTGTATGCTGGTTACCTGCCTCTGGGCAGGTGCAGCACTCACATCGTGAATCCCAGCTTAGACAACAAACCCAACACTAGATTCAGCTGCCTCCATGAGTGCATGAGGCTTTGAGAGGACATTTAAACACACACCATAGTAGTGCACCCAAAAAAAAATCCCTTCCCCAAGTCCTTGACTGGTGACCCTGGATCTGAATATTTCAGGTACCCCCAAAGAGCTGCACCTGCTCGGAGTTGCTGCTTCTGTGGGGGTGAGTTGCACTTACTTGTCCTTGGACACCAAGAACTCCAGTACATGGATTCTAAATATGCTCTGTTGGTCTTTGTCGGTTTCTCTGGAGTCATAAGTGATAAACTGATGTGACTTAGAAGTTTTATCTAATGTAGACAGAATACAAGGGATATTGTTGAAGCTGCTCATAATCTTAAGCAAATATAAACTAGGCCTCATTCAAATTATTTGTATAAATATGCATCATCTCTTAGTTGTGCTTGCTCCTAAGGACATGCATGGTCCAGGCAGGCCTCTCCAGGGTACAGAAGGAAGTGCCCAGCAGTCACTCAGTAGACATGGAGGAGCCAAGGAAGGGAGAAGGCACTTGAAGGAAATGCATCTGGCTTCTACACCTGGTTCCCGGTCACTGACAATGTTGGTTAATCTTTAATTTAGAATGCTTTTTAAAATATTCTCAAATAGACGAGAATTTCAATAATAAATAACCTGCCTCTGAAGACTAAGGTTGTTTAGAGCCCCAGTCATTGCTACAGTGGTGTCGAAGTGGACACTGAAGTAGAGCCTGTCCAGCAGCCCCGAGTCTACACCTGCAGGTATTTCCACCACGGGCCTCCACCCCAGCTGCTCAGGATTTCAGTGAGTTTGTCTTCTTCAGTTGGTGAGGGGATTACTCTAGCAAGAGATGAATATGCACAAACTGGCCACTGATCTATACCAGAGAGAGGACAGAGCATGAGCTGCTGCAGCTCCTGCTGACCTTGCTGCCCCTGCTGTCACTTGGTAGATACCATCACTGCTCTCAGAGGTCTCAGCAGTAGGCCCCGTGGGTGGTGGTGTGGAAGGGATCCTACACAGAGGAGAAGGTGAGAACTGGGATGGACTCGATTTTCTTTCTAGCCATGGGCCAATGCTGGGCAAGCATTGGAAACCAGGAGATGGCAGCCAAGGCCAGGTGGGGCAGGGCATGTGTGTGGATGGATGGGAGGTCACCACAGTCCCTTGAGCCAGGTGCTTAGTCATAACAGGACAAAAAGCACCAGAGAGAAGGGGCCACCCTACACCCAAGAACCATGTCCACTCTAATCCCTACCTCCTGCCTCAGACTTACACCCTGAGGAGCCACTGAGGTTGAGAACAAATCTAAACAAGTGAACACTCCCCAAACAGCAATCATAGTTCCTCTGTTCGAGTTGCTCAGGACGGTGCCTGCTGCCCTGGAGCTCAGTGAGTTCCCAAGACTTCTTACATCCCCAGGTAAGAATCCCCTCCACCCAGTCCCCCAGGACCTGGCCTTGCCCAAGGCCTGAATAACAGGTTTGTCACAAAGCTTAGAGGGACCCACCAAGTTCATACAGATAAGTGGAAAAGGAGTGCAAAATCAGGGGTGATACACTTGCAAAGTTAACCCCAAGAGGCCAAGGAGTCATCTCACCAACAAAGCCCACGTGCAGTCCCAGGAAAGCAAGAGACAGTCCCATCCGCACCCCAGGTTCCATGGCAGGGGAGACCAAGCTGCTGCCCACAGCCATGGTCCAACTGCTTTCATACCAAGGAGGAAGGCACCATGTGGCCACTGGGCTGCACAACCAGTGTAGGGGAGAGAGAGCCAGTGTCTGCCCTCTCAGCCGCAGGTCACAGTCTGGCCCCCTGCCTGATGGGGGACCCTAGCATTGGTAGCCTCACAGCTTATGAGGAGGGCATTCTAAAGGGATTTCACATGGCTGACTTTTTTTCTAATACCAAAATTTGCAGGGGAGTTATAATCTGCCTCTTGCTTCCAAAAGGCATTTATCCAAGTTCTCGCAAGAACCCTATTCTAAAGCCCCTGAGGTGTTGCCTTGTAGAAAATGCTGTTCACGAGAGCCTGAAGGTGGATTCCTGTCACCAGCCTATCAGGCACCTGCACCTGGATCAGACCATCCCTAAAAGCAGAGTCACCCCCTCTTTTTAGTCTAAGAAACAAGGGCTGGCATGATGGGTGGGGTCCACGCTGAGCTCTGGGTTGAACCCTCACTGTGCCCTGCCATCTTTCCCTGATGAACTGAGTCTCCTGAGGATCCTGGCCTCATGGCAATTTTAGCATTTTCTTATTTTTAGGAAGGAATATAATAAAAAGAGAATTTTTTCACTCCTCTACCAAGCGCCTGTGACTTTTCTTCCTGCGGGCCTGCACCTCAGGGCTGATTAGGCGCCCTTCGGCTGACCTGGCCTTTCCCACAGGAGAATGAGTTCTCACACTGACTGTGCCTACACCCCCATTTCCCCAAGGCCTCAAGGAGCACAGTGACTCCCACAGGAGCAGTTTGGAAACAAAACATTTCACTTACAAGCCAGGCATGGAGGTGCATGCCTATAATCCCAGCACTCAGAAGGCTGAGGCAGGAGTATTGTTGCGAGTTCGAGACCAGCCTGGGGTACAAAGGGGAGCTCAATGCCAGTCTGACCTGCATATATAAGACCTTGTCTCAAACAGCCAAAAAAAAAAAAAAAAAAAAAATCACTGTGAAGCCTGAGAGGGATTGTAGACTTTTAAAGCTAAAAGAGATCATCTGGTCCAAGACTTTGAATTTTTATTTTTATTTACTTATTTATTTGTCTTTTTTGAGACGAGTTCTCTCTTTGCAGTTTAGGCTGACCTTGAGCTTACTTTGTAGCCCAGGCTGGTCTCGAACTCTCAACGATCCTCCTGCCTCAGCCTCCTGAGTGCTGAGATTACAGGTGTGAGTCACCATGCCCAGCAACTTTCAATTTTTAAATTAAAAATAAACCTTGGGGCAAGGAGTATGTATGAGATCTTGGGTTTGATCCCTAACACCACACACACATATACTCACACAGTAAAATAAACTTCTTCCTTTTGAAAAGAAACATTCTTGTTTATTGAAAAAAAATTAGGATATCCTGATGGTAAAATGAAACAAATTGAAACTTTCTGCAGTACCCTTCAGAGGTGACAGAGAGCCCCCTGCTAGGGACCTCTGTCCTGTCCTCCCTGGCCCCTACAGCCACAGATTGTCTGGCTGCACAGTGAGATCCCATCGTAACTGTGTCCTGAAGACAACAGATGGCAACCTGTGCCTTAACTCAGATGGCAGGCCCCAGTGGAAGGCTTGGGAGATCTTGTAAACATACAGCCTGGAGCTGGAGTGGTCAGGAAGGTAAGCTTGGGAGCATAAAAGCCTGGCAGACCGGACAGAAGAGACCAAGTGTGAATCCCTTCAGGAAGTGGGAGGAACTGAGAACACAGGCTCTCAAACACCCTGGGTTCAGTCTTCCCTAACTGCCAAGAGTAACCTCTTCATCTGCATAACCGGAGACTGGGACCCCTAGCTCTGAGCAGCAGACAGCTAAATTCTGCAGATTCCAAGCCTGGTCCCTGTGGGGTGCTGCACAGCTCCAAAGCACCTCTCTGTGGGGATATGATTGGAACCACACAAAAAGATCCCAAAACATGTACTGTTTAAAACTGATATCCCTGAATGATGCTCTGCGGACAGCTTTCTGTTTCCATTGAACAACAGCAGTTTCCAGGCCTGAGCAAATTTTCCTCGCACGAGCACCCCTCGCTCCACCTCCTCTCCAGCCACCTGTGCTGTGTGAGCCACTGCGTTTGCCATGTCTTTCGCCTGTCAACCCTGTGAGGCCAAGGAGCAGTGCCCACCTCACAGGGACCTCGAGGATGCTGGAGTTACAGGCAGACAGCACTACGGCCAGTGTTGGGTGTCCAGGTGACCGCTCTGCACTTGGGGCGGAGTATAGAACTGCAAGGAACCCAGGTGAGCTACCCAAGGCCAGGCAGTCACGGGCAGGGTGGCCGATCAAG